AAAAACAAAGCCAACACATCCTATCACCATAAACCACATACTACTGTAGCATTACGATTTAGAGGTAGTTGCTTCCCTTACTGTAGGTGCTCGTTGAGTTACAAAAGTTTACAGAAGCATGCAAGAATTTATAAGAGCATGAGAGAAAGGCATAGACATAAAAGAAAAAAAAATAAACCAAAGAAAAAAAATGCTTTTTGCAGGTCTCAAACTCCATTCTTAAAGAATTAATTCAAGAACTTCATTCATAACTCAAAAATGTGTGAGGACCAAGTTAACTGTTTCCTCAGTATATTCAAGAAGTTGAACCTACTCAAATGCATGGTTTAGGCAGGCTGTATCAAGGTGGTTCCAAAGGGTTATTATTTAGAACATTTAGCCTTGCACCCACTGTTACATACATGTATGTTTTAACCTAAAATTCGTGGCTGTAAATTAATGATAAAGGAATAAATTAAAGTTTTGTTGTTGTTTTTTGTTCTTTTTGTTTTTGCATTATTTTGTTTTCACCTCTGGATGTCACTAAACCTATACATGTAAGAAATGTAATAAGCTACATAACCTGAAATCATAACCCTCCTTCTCGCTGGCTTTCAAATGGACTTTTTTTTTAGTCTTTCAACATGATTACAGCTGTCCTAATATTATCATTATCAATTTTACGGGAATCTTATTATTAACCTTCAATACAGCCCGATCCAGCAGCCCAGCCATCACCAATATAGGTATCTTTACATACACACGTAAAGGCACCATCATCTTCATAGCACAGGGCATTTACATCACAGGCAATTTTTCCAACCGGTTCAAAAGCACCAGTACAGATCTCTGTGTGAATAATAATGATAAATGCAACCATCAATAGAGGAACAGGTGCTGTTTAATAATTATTTTCAACTAGTATCTGTCTTTTACTGCTTTTTTTTATCACTTTAGGGTGAATGATTTAAAACAAACTAGTCAGTTCTGTCATAAAAGAACTAATTTTCTTTTCCCAAAATAGTATTATACACTCAGATATTGAGTAAAACCACCTACCACCATGATCAGGGCCCTGAGAATATGTGCTGGAGAACACCAGGGCAGGACAAAGGGTAGAAAAATCCCATCACGAAAGAAAATCCTCATTTTCATTGTGCAAGCAGAAACTTGTCACTGCCGTTTCTACATTTAGCCTGCTGATGACAGTCAGACATTTAAACATTTGAAACTGCGACCTAGCAGCATGTAATCCCATTTACCGCACTCAGTGCATCACTCTTCTGTATTCGCAATTCTCTTCGGCATCTCTATGACAAAATCTTAAACACCACAGAAGCCATACAGGGAGTGCACAAATGAAGCTTTTCTGTATATTTGCAGTGGCCATTTTCATGGCCATTTTGGCTCGTTTAATAATTCCACTCTCTCGCAGTCAGTATCGAACTTGTTTCCTGTCCCCAGCCAAAAGGGAAAAACAGTTGAATGAATAAGCCAGGAGATTTCATAATTTTTCCACAAAAATCAATAACGTCAGGAGAATCACATCAGGAATATCAGAAAAAAGAGCAACAGGCAAGGGAATCCTTAGGTATATAAATCAGGGCTCCACACTAACTGTAGCCAACTAGCCACAGACTAGTAGAAATTTAGTTTTGGCTAGTAGGTTTTCGATTTCCACTAGCCACTTTGGCTAGTCACAAAATGAAATTGGCCAAACTAGTTTCTGTCTTCCACAAGGAAGACAAACACAAATACTTTTCTTGGAAACAAGGTCACTAAAATGAGACATGAGCTTCCTGATAAAATCATGCACAAAATCGTGCAGAACTGTAAAGGGATAACATTTCATTTAGGCTAACGACACATGGGTGATTTGTCGTCATATGTGACCGTGAACGGGAAAACGTACCTTAATGCTTATCCGTTAAATGGTCGCTAATGGACGGATAGCTAACAGATAGTTAACGGCCTTCACAGCATTCTAACGTTTTGTCCTAACGTTCTAACGGTTATCTAATTGTGCCTAACGGATGATCAAAGCGTTCTAACGTTCTCTCCTAACGTTCTAACGGCTAACTAAGTATGCCTAATGGATGAAGCGTTAACGTACGTTTTCCCGTTCACGGTCACATATGCATACTGACAAAACTTACCACTACAGAGGAAATAATTAGGTGAGAAAGATTTATTTCCTTCAACATTATTTTAAATCAGCAGCTTTTACATGTAGCAGGCAAAGACAGGTAATACTTTGCAGTCTTGTTCGGAGAGTTGTTTTGCTTTTGAAACATTTCTCGACAGTTTTTACAATAACGTCTTGGGGTCTCAATGTTTTTCTAAGCAAGTCTAAAAGAAAAACAGAGTCCTGAAAGTCTTTTCCGAAAATTCACTGGATTTTTCTTTCTTTGGGATCTCTTGGCCTGAGAGATTTGATGTAAGGAAACATCATGTATTACAGTGAGTCACATGGGTTGTGCTCTCAAGTCTTGGTAGCAATTCTGCTGTTATTGGACCTAGCCAACATCATCAATGCTTGGCTAGAGAAAAAAGTTTTTGGCTAGTGACATCTAAGTTGTCACTAGCCATTAGGCTGATAAGTTGAAAAGTTAGTGTTGAGCCCTGTAAATACATCGACATGGAGAGCCAAATAGTCTGACTCCAAAAAGTCCCGATCTGACCGATCAAAACGTCCAGAACATAACCCCTATAAATTC